GGTTAGTGCAAACAACTTAGATTTAGAAAAAGCTCATCGTTTGGTCTAAAGTACTTCTTCTTTTAAAGCTCTGTTTTCTTGGTTGCCATAGCGATACACTGTCTGGACAACAAACCTCCCACAGATACAAACTATATTTACTTCCTTACATTACTTAGAAATTTGTGCCGACTGTCAGGAAAAATAAAAACAGTAGAATTCACTTCCATAAACACAAACAAACAGACTGACTATGTCATATTTTACTATGAAGCTGAACTCGATGGACAAACACGTAGAATAAGCAGAGAAAGAAAAATGTCATACAAAGAAGAGAACACTTAACATGATAGCCATGAAATAATGTATCCTAATGCAAAGCCAGTGTATTAAAAAATCTTCCTGGAGATACAAGAAAAGGGCTGTTATAGGCTGTTTCCAAATAAATTTAATTTTCCAAATATCTGAAAGCCAACTGCAGGCTTTAATTGACATTTTCATACTGATCTTTTTCTTTATCCATTTCATCTGTCTATTTACTTGTTATTTAGACTGTCTGATTTTAAAAGGAGGTGGAAAATATGGCACATTATATGTAAATGTGACCTGATTTCAGCACAGATAAAAATTTAAAAAATAAATTAAGAGCGAAGAGAGGAGAGAGAAAGCGTTATGGCAGCTGAGAAATGGGAGGGGGCAGACAAGAGAAAAGCAGCTAACACAGCAGACTCTGAGCCTTTGGAAGATTCAGTTTAATGTTGAATTATTCATCATCTTTCCTCCCGGTCTCCTCAAGTATTAGAGTTACAAAGAAATGTAATGGTGAAAAACAGTGCTCGAAAAAAGATTTATAACGGAGTAGGACTATAGTGCCGAAATAAGTAATGTTGCCTTGTCAGTCGAATCTCCAGAGGATGGGCGGCAGTAGCTAAATTACACTTTGAACTAGCTAAGAAAGTAATACGAGCACCTTAGATTGTTTCAGGTCACATCTCTTTTCAACGACCAACGACTGAGCCTGCCTCAGACTTACTTTTTGTCCGGCTGCATTTAACATTGCATGTGCGCAGAGTCAAAGTTAAAAAAAATATTGGTCCAAGTGCTAACCCTCAGACTTCTAGTAGATACATGTATGGTCTTAATTTCACATTGCCACCCGCCTGGCAACGTGACAATACCCCATCAGGCATTTACAGATGAATGAATTCAAGCCATTTCCTTCATCTTTTCCAAACTTTGCACACGTTCCAAAGCCTTCCACGTTAAGACCTGTTAACTAAATTGTTCTTCTTTCCATTTTCTGGATTTCTTGAGATTCTTTTCATTTGGCTTTTAACATCAGCCTCAACAAGACTACTCTGAGTGTGACTTTGTGTGAATAAAGAAGGAAAACTTACATAAGTACTATAATTGAGTGCAAGAGTACAAGTTTGCAGCCCTGTGGAAAAACTAATACACCCTTACTGCTTCCATAGGAATTCAGAGGGTAAGTAGCAGCCAGGTGCTTCTAATCAAATTCACTTGATTAACATCATCAAGGAAGTGTGAGCACCTCCATAAAAGCTGAAGTCTGGTTAGTTTGCATTAATGTGTATGTTAACATAATGCTATCCCAAGGTCAGACGGTGCATTGCCCCTTTTAGCATGTTAAATGTTAAAGTTTGTGACAGTACAATTTGTGCAGGACAAAGCCTTTTCTCTCTAAAAAGAACATGGCAGCATGGCTTTGCTTTGCGAAGCTGCATCTGAACAAAAGACAAGAGTTGTGGAACAACATTCTTTAGATGGACGAGATCGGAGTAGAGATGTTTGATTGTATTGCGGGCCGCATTTTTAGCAAACACCTCATATCATTTATTTGGCAAAACAGCTAAAAAAAACGAGCAGAAATTACAGGGTATTTAGCAGTGGTTGGTATATACCACATGACCACAATGTCCATGATTTTACTGCTGGCCATCCAGACCTTGTTACATAATATACTGCCCTATTTTCTCCTTTTCGCAGTCACTGCCTATATGTTTATAATAAATCACAGGCTTAATATGGTGTGAAGAGAATGACTCTGTTCTGGAAATAATTGTAACTATTTGGGAAGGCCATTTTCTCCCAGTAACACCCAGAAAAAAGTAAGAAAAAGCTTACAGAAACCAAGATGCATTTCCTCTAACAATATCTAGTCCTAGAAATGACATCGCTCATGTTTCCACTAACCAAGAATGAAACAAATTTTCAAGAGAGCCGAATAGCAAACCAGATGCAGATGGTCCATCTGGTATCGGGGCTGGGGTACAGTAGGCTTGAAAGAAAAGGCTGGCACCACCCCCTGGGAGGAGTCAGCTAGCTGCCTGGCAGTTCCTGCCCAATATTAAACGCTCCCACATGGTGAACTACAGTTTGAAGCTCAAGAAAGGATAGGTGAAAGAGCCAGCGCGAACCCTTTGACAGAAACACACGGATACAAGGAGTGTTTCTGTGTCTCTGCAAGGCCATTAAGTATTTACACTTACTATGCAAGAGTAAGACAGTAAGTGCTGCTAGCACGCATATATGAATGATGTATTTTCCTCAGAGTGCACAAGCTCGGAGCTGAAACACTGCATCGAGTACAGAGAAAGACCAAACATCTTTCTGCTGTCTCAGCTCCATCTCATTCAACTCTTTACATCTGTGTCCTCTCGGTGCCCTATTTCTTCTCTGCTGCCTCTTCCTCATTATTTTAGTCTCCTTTTTTTCAACCACATGACTAGGGATGGGTATCGTTTAGGTTTTATCTGATACCAGTACCAAACCGGTACTTTTGAAACGGTGCCGGTGCTCAAACGGTGCTCGAACCGGTGCTTAAAGAATGGAGAACACACACTTTGTCCAAAAACCTCTTATGTTTAGCTGATTTTTTTGTAAAAAGATAACAATGTGTGCCTTTTCTGCAGCTATAGGGGATATATGGTATCACTCTTGGCTGGAAGCAGTGCTTAATCAATGGAAAAAACACAAACTTTGTCCAAAAACCTCTCATGTTTAGCTGTTTTCCACTTTTTCTTTGGTCATTTTAGCCTTTTTGGCCAGGGTGAAGGGAGTATCTGCCATCAAACAAGAAGACAGCCGCATGTAACTACGATGATGTTTGCTAGTTCACCTTACATGCATTAATGTAATAACGTGGTTAGCCTACTCAATGTAAATTACACATGAACAACATTAAGCTACTCACGCAGAGAAGAACGGCTGCTGCTGCCATCATCATCCGTCATCATTTCTGCTACACTGGCAGGGCTACGGGCCAGGACTCTCCTCTTCGGGTTCTTGGGGGATGTTGCTAACTCCGGGTCCGATAACAGGCACCACACCCGCAGTAGATGTGCACGGTGTGAGGTCTCACAGCAAGCTATCAAATACGGCGCATTTCTCGGCTTAAAAAAAAAAACCCCGCTATGTGTCGCCAGGTGTTTCATCAGATTCTTGGTGTTACCTTCTTTGCATAATATCAGCTTAAAGCACTTGTTGCAGGCTGCTGAGTTTGCATCTTTTGCTGTGAAGTACAGCCAGACTTTTGACCGCTTCGCCTTGGGCATTTTTAATCTGTAGCTCTGCTCTAACAGAACGTACGTACCTGGGCCCGCCTACAATCCCTGGAAAGGTAAAATGATTGGCTAGAATTCAAAGTGTATGACATCTCAGGGAAATAAAGCACCGAAATGTGCGCTGCTTTTCGGTCTGGTTACTACCGTTTATGTCAGATACCGGTACCCATCCCTACACATGACAAGTTGTTTCTCTCACCTGCTGTCTTTGTACCTTGAACAATTTTATTCTGTTTAAATACGTTCAAACTCTTTTTTTGTGCCACAGGCAGAAGAAAGTTTCTTGTTTCTATATTTTTGTCTTGCTGTGTTGTGTTTCTATCAAATTAAACAGAGCTACAGGCATTTCATTTAATACTGTTTAAGTTCGCCTGCAAAAAGTTTCAAGTGAAAATTATAGATAAACTTTTTGCAGAGCCTTAAATTGTTTCTGACATTTATTCCCTGTGGCCTTTCAGTGTCCATCACTAATCGCATTTATGTAGTTAAAAAAAAGACAACAAAAAAAGGACATATATTGATAACAAACAGAGCTTGCGGAATTTAAATTGGTTACTCCTCTTTTCAGCTCTTCCTTAGTGATCAATTTATAGTCCTCCAGGCTCCGGTCTGGCCTTCACCAGATACAGAAAAACCTATGGTGTCTAAAAGGTAAATGGACAGGTTCTTGTATATTGCTTTTCTACTCTATTTTACTCTTTATAAATATATGTCTCACCCACTCACACACATATTCATACAAGCACTTTCTTCTACATCTAAGTGCTTTCTGTGTAACGTGTACACACACACACACACACACACACACACACACACACACACACGCACAAATCATCGCATCAGGAGCAGCTCGGGTATCAGTATTATGCTCAAGATACTGTACTTTGGAAAGCAGACCGCAGCACCCAGGAATCAAAGGGAAGCCAGGAATTGCATATATAACCCTTGTATTAAAAAAAAGGGCTTATATATAGAGGAAATTGATGGCAATGACCAAATTGAATATAAAGGACAGATTTCACAAACAAACCAGAGCTTACTCACATCACAGAGACACAGTTTTTCTCAGCTGCCAGACTTTGGCCATACAGCAAGTTTCTTTTTTTTTAAGCTTTTGCTTTGGAGGATGTTAAGTACAATTACATTTTGGAGCCCAATCTTAAACAGCTAATGCACAGATCCCCAGTCACCTTCTGTAGAGAATAACTGCTAAAATACTGAAACATAACAATAAATGTGAGGAATAAAACTAAACATAACTGCACAGCATTAGAAAACCAAACAACACTGTGAGGTTGTGGTGGGTTTTTTATGCTTCTTTAATGTCTCTGTACTGCAGGCTGTAAAGTAAATGATGCTTTTGTTCTGACGAGTGTGAGTAGGAGGCACAAAGTACAGTACACTCTGTCATGAAAGACCAGGACTACTTCTGCTTACCTGAGTGAGAATATCCAGTTGGCCTATAATGTGTTCCAGGGTGTTGGCTAGACCAGGTGGGACCCCTCCATCTGAAGCATGGGACTGTGCTTGACCCTGGGGTGAATGCTGCGGTAAACTCTGTGTTTGTGTCTGATGGGCAGTGGAGGAACTGATGCTGAGGCTTCCATTGGCATGGGAATGAGATGCTCTGCTCTGGATGCCAATCTGTCTGTAGCTCTGAGTGTGGGCAGCAGTTTGAGAGTCCTGCCTTTTAAAATGCTGAGCTGGATCAGAGGTCTGGAAACAAAGAGGACAGTGAGAGCTGTTAGAAACTTTGATATCTTGGATGTGTCCCTGTTGGGAAAGGGAGAATCTTTTCTGTTGTAGATTGTGCAATCTTTTAAAAAAGTTTAAATTACTTCGTGAAAACAAAATTGCTGCTCTGGTTGGCAGAAAAAAGTTTTAAATTGGAGACAATCGATGAATCGCCTACATCAAGTGGCAACAGCGGTAATATTAAATATTACATTTCCTGACAAAAATAAATCAACAAATATTTATATCAATGCAGGCTGAGTTTTTGCTCAATGTCGGATATTTGTCATGCATATTTACAGTAAAAGGGACCTCCCACAAAAAACACCACCTTATCTATACCTTTATGAAAACTGTTCTTGAGCTGAAATGAAGGCTACATGAAGTTTGGACGTCTATACCCATTGACTCTGCAGAAAGTTTGTGACCTCCGCGCACTATGCACCTCAGCATCTGCTGACCCCACTGCTGTTGTTCGCAATAGCTTCCACTCTGTTATAATACTAGGGTATTTCAAGATGGGACTTGTCGCATAAGTGGCATTCTATCACGATGCCACGCTGGAATTCCCTAATCCCCTAAGAGCGACCCATTCATTCACAAATGTTTGTAGAAGCAGTCTGCATGGCTAGGTGCTTGATTGTATACAGCTGTGGCCATGGAAGCGATTGAAACCACTGAATTCAACGATTTGGATGTATCTGTGAATACCTTTGGCAACATAGTGTAATTAAATAAACAAACAAACAAACAAACACCCAATGACTAGACCCCTCATCGTCCCCCTAGTTGACTGGCAAAATCTTTGGTCATGGGCAGACTTAGAGCTCATTTGGAGCTTAAAGGGCTTAAACATTACAGTCTGAATGGAAACCAGTGTTGACTCACTGCTTCACACACACACACGCACACACACACAAAAGCTAAGTCTGTCGGCCTGCGTTGTGATTAATTCAATGAGGTACAAACACATGAAGCTCGGTGACCACATCTCTCCATCACCATGTCTACATGACTAAATTTGTCCACACATGTATACGTTTCATTATATTTCTGTCTGCCTTTGCAGACCTCTGACTGATTGCGTACACGTGTGTGTGTCTGTGTTTATGTATATATTGTGTCACCTGTCCTCCATCCCAGTGAGAGAGACAAAAAGTGTTTACCTCATCACACATGCAGACTGAAGCCTATTCACATTCAGCTCAAAATGTCAAACTGTGTTGTTCCTAAATGAGTGGAGCTGTCAGCGATTGCTTGGCTCATCACATCTGCCACAGACGTAGCTTATAAGAACAGCTAGAATAAAATGAGCATGGGTTCCCTGCAGTCATGTACAAAGAGTCCAGGAGATGATCCTTGAGTGAGTGGACCTGTCTGTCCATGTGTCATACTCACAATATCAGAAACATCATGCAAAGTTACTGTTGAAAAAGTGGCAGTGAGAGAAACTGTATAAAAGTCAGTAAAATATGATACAGGTAGCCCACGGATAGTGCGCCGCAAGATAAAACAATATGTAGAAGCTGTTACAGGCTGAGATTTTAAATTGCAGAAGAAGAACCCTCATCAACAATATTAACAGTTAATTGTAGCTTGTTTATACACAGGATATTTGATTTAGTCATTTTTAAAATGACTTAGCGCCTGTTAATCATATAGTTTGACAAATTTGCACTTTTTCCAGCTTGTTTCACCACCTGATGGGATTCACCAACATTTTTCGATAAATCTGCCGCCATGCAGCCGCGGCTCTCTGAACTGTTCAGTGTGTGGGCAGAGAGCAGAGCAGCAGCACATTCGGCATCATAAAAAAAACAGAGAGAAGCATGAATGAGCTGCAAATGTGTCTTTTTGATTAATCGCTAATCTTGATAGATGGGTGTAGTAGATTAAGTGCATTCCAGGGTTTATATCCTATCTGTCCTTCCACAGGCTGCATGGAAGTATCACTGTATTTTCATAAGTTTTAAAGCTTATGTATGCATGTGGGCGGCAATGCTATTGCTAAAACTATAAATCAGTCTGCTAACTCAACATGCTCTTCATCTAACGAGAAGTCGGGGAAAACCCCATTATTGCAAATGTACATGCAAGTACATGTAAATGTGCGCATAAACATGGTAACCATCCTCCTAATGAATCACCTGGAGTGGAAAAACCAACAGTGGAAAATTTCCTGAGGCCAAATTAAACTGTTAGTCTGACACAGCCAGCCATCAATATACCTCACAAGCTGCATAGAAAAAAAATACACACACCTCTCTCTCGCTCACATACTCACATACATACATACATACTCACATACTTACATACATGTGTGTATATATATTTTATTATTTAACTCCCTGTAACATGTCTAAATAGTATATTTTACCATTGCAATGCTTTGGTTTTTTTTACCTGCCACTCCAAGACGTCTCTGGATCGCTTTACAAGTGCTTCAACTTTAGCTGCTGCGCATTTGACAAAATAAGTGAGCAAAGGTGCTAATTTGTGCTAAATGGCGACCCATAAAATGTTTCCCCCTGTGGCACAATGTTTATATGAAAATCAGTCTACAAAAGTGCAATTTTCCTCATTTGCAAGTCCTGTGACTTTGACTATGACCTAATCAAACACACCTTAAGCCGTAGTAAGTGAAAAAGTTGAATATATATTTTTAACTTTTGTTCATTTTGTTAGCTATCCCTGCTGCCACTGGGTAATAAGCAGCAACCTGAACAAGTCGGCAGTCCATCTCAGAGCTAACGCACAGAGACAATCAAAAATTCACACTCACGGCCAATTTAGAATCACCAATTCACCTAACAAGCGACGTCTGTGGCCTGGGGGAGGAAACCTGTGTAGGCACCGTGCCTGCACCAGTTTAGAGCTCGACACCTACTTGCTGTGAGGCGACAGTCCTAACCACTGCACCGCCACACCGCAACTGATTAAATTTAACTGGCTGAAGCATGATAGTCGTTATAATTTTGCAAGCTGGCGAAACAATGAAAGGAAATTGTTTCGTGGAAGGAAAAGCACAGACGTAAACAATCTAAATCAGTGATGGCTTCATTTCCTTTAGCCGATTCATTGTTATGGTCTTGTTATTGTACATGATAAAATATATCATTATTATTGCCAGTGACACCTGCTGTATCTATAATATTTAAGCATTTGCTATTAAAAAAGTCATGTATAAAAACTCTCTGTAGTCCCAATGCTATATTTTTGACACTTTGAATTACTGCTAATCTTTATATGGTCCATAGAGAATAAGAGGACTGGCAAGTACTTTTGAACAGAAATGATAGAGGTAAGCGGTGCATTTATACTTATTTCAGGTACCTTATCAGTTGTGACGTGTCCATGACAGACAGGTCAAGGGGTATAAAGTTGATAGAAGCTACTTTTAGCCATAAAATATAATGGTTATAAGCTCATTACCTTAAAAGCGGTCGGTCCTGTCAGTCTAATGCTAAAGTTAGCTCAAACAGCTATAGTGTCAGCAGCAGCATTGTGGGTCACCAGTTTAATGTCAAAACACTTTCAGGCACAACTTATCTTTTCTTATAATAGATCTTTATTATGTTGTTCATGATAGTAATAAACCTGTATCCAAGTATGCCACTAGTGTGATATCAATAAACTTCATTTAAATCATTTATAAAAGACTCATATTACACTCAGATATTTGATTCATATCACACTCAAACAGAAATGTAGAGAACAAACTGGAAAATTGGTTTTAAACTGCAAAATGCTGTCACTCCTTAACAAATCTATGAGTTCCCACAGTCTAATTAGGGATCATTTCTATTCTCACTTTAAATTAATCACAGTCATTCAGGCAATGATTCTCTTTTACACTAGTCCTAGCGCAGATGGCACAGCTGGTGATAATGGCTCTTGTTGCTCTGCCATTGCATACAGTGTAAAGCATCAGCATCATCTCCTCACTGATCAAATAAGAGAGGCTGGTAGGTGTGTGGGTGTCACAAGATAACCGTAACACATAGACAAACATTTTCACCAGCTGCTGATATCTCAGTTAATTAGAGGGAAGCGAACCTTTTACGAGAAACTGCTAGTGATGCTTTTTGATGAATGAAGCCTGAAGTTACTCGGCCTCGATTGTGCCTCTCGACTCCACTACAGGCTCAAAAGGGGAGGCTGTTTCTCACTCTCATTTTTTATCTGTCCTTGACTGGCTCTCTCATCCTTTTCTTTTATTTTACTGTTTTTTTCTGCTTTCATCACCCCCCAAGCTCTCCAAAAGGTGTCTCTTAATGCCTCTCAAATTTTCTCTTTTCAATATAATCTTGCTTGTTTTCTTCTCCAGTGTCTGCGGCTTGTCTCGTTCTCTCCCGTGCTTGTCCTGCTTTCCCACTTTCTGTACCTTCCAGCTCTTCCTCTCCCTGCTCTTCCTCACTGATGTTCTCTCGCTCCACTAGACCATTAGGTTCTCTTTAACTCCACTTCTATGCGGTCTTTGACAGTCCTTTGTCACACCCTCCTGCCTTTCTTTTTAGCTCCTAATGTCAAATGTATTCAGCTCACACTGTTGGAACAATATCGCCGGCCTTATCTTAAAGATTCACACACATAAATGCAAACAGAGCCATGCATCTGAAACATCTGTGATTGATGGGGGTTTATTTGCACTACAAAGTAAAGGTGATTCAGCGATAATGGTAATAGAATGATCGAGGAAATTAAAGTTCAGTTAGTGCAGTCTCTGAACACCCATCCCACACACACACATTCCACTCCACGTCCTAAAGCTGAGCCACACAGTGTAGTGGTTTGTGTGTGTGTGTGTTGGGCTGTGAAGGAAAGCCTGCTGTGAGTTTGCAGCTCGTCTGTCTGCACACGTGAGCACGAGAGAGACCCAGATGTGAAGCTAGAGACAGAAAGTGGGGGAAGGGGTGGAGGGTAGATAGAGGGATTAAGGCGGATGTGATCAGAGAGCGCTGATCTGCCTGTCAGCAATAGAT